CTTTTTTCAAAGAGTTCATATGTGTATCTTCCACTCCTCACCAGTGAGCTTCATGGACTGCGAGGGAAAAGCTTGTGTAACGTGGGGCTTTGCCTGCTCTTCCCTGCCATGCCTTTGAACTTCTCCTTTGAGGACTGTCTTAATTATTGAGTCATTTGAGGGGGAGAAGGTGACATGAAAGCTCTGATGTCAAGTACAAAATAGGACTGCAGCTATATCATTTGATACTGTTCCCCTTAAATGCCAAATTGTGAATTTCCTTGGAGGCGGAATGAGTTTTTGGGCATGTCTCCAGGAGTCAAAAGAATCCCAATTCTAGAGGTCACTGGGCTGAAAAAGCCAAGGAAATGAGAAGTTAATGCAGAAGTAACTGAAGTGTTTAAAGAAGAAAAAAGCTGAAAGCCCTTCGGTCTTGTCCCTGAGCAGTTGACCCCTTTGGAGCTAATGGCCTGCAACATGGTTGCATTTCTTCCTGAGGGATCTTTGAATTGAGGAAGGGAGGGTCTTCACTAACTTAAAAATCTATGTTCTTGCGTTGTGAAAGCTGGTTTGAAGCCTGCTTGGCTCTCCTGTAGCTGCAGGTAAGATTGGTGCCTGTGCTTGCTTGGGGTATTGTTGTCTCCTGCTCATCCCCACTTCTGGGGATGCATCTGTGGTCATACATGACTGCTCCCGTCTGTGGAGATGCAGTGGGACTCCACTGTGAGGGACTGCAACCAAAATGAACGAGGTCTATGAGGAATACGTGTGCAGAGGAAAAAGGCAGTGATTAAGCAGCAAATCTTCATGCCCTGGTACTCCCCCATATGCTGTCATGAGGACTTACTCACAGAGAATGTAAGAGTGGCTTTTGGTGACAGGTGCTGCCATCTCCAAACTGCCTCTAAATCTTTATCCTCAATCACTTTTGTAGTACTGGGGCAACATCCCCACTCCTCAGAAAGTAAAATCATGGGTACTCTCAGCTGGCGTTTAGGAAATGGTTTTGAAAAAGCAGAGCTGTATCAAGTACACAGGAAACTTGTGTCCCCTGGGAGTTTTCCTGGTGTCATCTCCAGTAGACTGGTTATTTTATGCATTTTGTGAAGTTGCTGTATGACTTTGGTTGTATTACCACTTCTCTAGCAGTGCCCGTGTAAAGGGATGGGTGTTTTTGGAACTAGACTGCAGTCAAGTATATAGTCAGTTAAAGCTTATTTCTTGGTATAAAACTGAATTTAACCAGCTGCATTTTTCAGATCACTGTCAGCTTCTGTACATTCCATTTCCCTGTTTTCTTTGCCGGATTGTTCAGTTCTGTACATTAATTGTTTTGAATAGCTGCTGCTTTATCATCTATCGAAGGCTAGTTTAAGTCATCTATCTAATGATTTCTTTACAAGTTGATGCAGATACGATAAAAATGTGATATACCTTTGCATCCTATAGCTCTCTGCTTTCCTTTACTTTTCTAAACCTTACCATAGGTGATGCTGCCATCCCGCTCCACTTCAGATGTGCTGGCTGCCTCTGAATGCTTTATACCCTTAGACATCCCTTTCTCTTTTGGGGAAGGGCAGCCACTTCGTATGTGTCGGAGGCTGGTGCTGGAATTCCACACGCTTTGAAGTATCCTCATTATCTGCAAGGGTGGCTGGTGATGAGTTAACTTAGTAAGTAAAGGCTTGGTAGTGTCTCTGTAAAGGATGACATTGTGCATGCCACATTTCTTGTGCGTTTTTAATCCTGCCCAGTTCCTCAGTGAGGTACTTTAGGTAAATGGAGGTGATGTGAATAAGGTTGCTACCTCCCTCTAACTGCAGGCAGTGGTGTCAACCTTGCAAGGATGTTCTTGTTTCAAGCAATTTTGTCTTCCGTGGAGGCAAGTGAAGTTACTGAGATGTGTGTGGGATGGAGATAAGATACTTGGGCTTTTTGGTGCTGGTAAGGCTAGTAGAGGTGCTCAGTAGCTGGGCCCTTGACATTCAGCTTTTGAGGCTATTTCCAGTTTTTAATGCCTTTTGCTTCCTGTCAAAGGCAACTGGTACCTAGTTTTTGTGTTGTTGTATTGCTGGTTAAGACAGCTCTATCCCTTCCTACAGGAAATACTTAAATCTGTCACAAACTAAAGCTATTTATATGTCTAATAATGAGTAAAGGATACATTAATTCTATCTTTGAATGTCTTATGACTTGTATTGGTAGGATTGTTTTATTATCTGTTCCTCTGAGCTGTCTTGCCAGGAGTTAGGTGGCTTTATTCCCAGATTTATAATGCATTCTCTTCCTCTTGGAGAGGGCATATGCTGTCTTGGCTCACTCTTTTTAATTTGAGTTTTGCAGGGGTCTGTGTTGTTCCAATTTTAGTTGTTCTATTTCTAAAGCCTTTCACATGCATGTAAAATATAATAAAACCTAAAATATTTCAAGGCTCTTAGAATTACTGCAGGTGTAAACATAAGCCTGCTTCTCATATTCCTGCATCTATCTATTAGTTCATAGAATTTGCAAAGAAAAAACTTGAGATGTTCTTTAAATAAGGTTAGTGATAAACATGAGAATGAAGACTCCAGCCTGTAAGGGTGGCTCTGGAGTAGCAGATCGCTCACTGGCCCCAGCAGCTGCCTGGTGACTCCTCCAGAAGCATTTTCTTCCTCTGATTTTGGTATTCTTTTATGTTTCCCCATCCATTCTGCTACTTCCATCTACCCCAGTGAGATGAATTGACCTGTAGCCAAGGTTAACTAGTTGTCATTCAACAAAATCACTTGTGAGGGAACAGCTGTAAGTATTGACAAACTATTGTGCTGCCCTTCTTGAGCTCCTTGGTTGTCATTCGTGAGCAGCCTGGGTCAGGCCTCACCTGGTTGCACAGTGATCGGGGTGAGCCAGCATCATTTTCACCTGCATGCTGTCTGAAGAAATGCTGTAGGTTTAAACAAGCTTTTATCAGCAATTCTGATAGACCTCTAGGGTCTGCATATACCCATCATAAGGCTGTGGAGGCTCTTTGTTGCAGCATGGTGCTGTTCACAGAATCCCAGACTGGTTTGGGTTAGAAGGGACCTTAAAGCTCATCCAGTTCCAACCCCCTGCCACGGGCAGGGACACCTTCCACTAGAGCAGGTTGCTCCAAGCCCCTGTGTCCAACCTGGCCTTGAACACTGCCAGGGATGGGGCAGCCACAGCTTCTCTGGGCACCTTGTGCCAGCACCTCAGCACCCTCACAGGGAAGAGCTTCAGCCTCAGAGCTCATCTCAATCTCCCCTGTGGCAGGTTCAAACCATTCCCCTTGTCCTGTCCCTCCAGGCCCTTGTCCAAAGCCCTTCTCCAGGTTTCCTGGAGCCCCCCCTTCAGGCACTGGAGCTGCTCTAAGGTGTCCCCTTCAGGAGCCTTCTCTTCTCCAGCTGACCCAGCCCAGCTCTCTCAGCCTGGCTCCAGAGCAGAGCTGCTCCAGCCCTCGCAGCAACTCCATGACCCTTTTCAGGATTCACTAGCTCGTATCACTGCTTTTCCACTGTGTTTGCTGCTGCTGCCTGCTGGGTTGGGTGGTAGCTGGAGCCTGGGGCTGTGCTCCAGGGTGTGCCTGTAGGAGCTGCCTGCCTGGTCAGCCCTTGTGCTGTGGAAACAAAACTAGCCATAGCAGAGCAGCCCGAGCTGGCTTGGTGGAGTCCTGAGCCCCAGCTGCATACGTCCTCTCTGCTCGCAGTGGGGTGGGAAGAGGAGAGGAATATCAGCTGCAAAGTCCTGAAGGATTAGGGTGCCAGACCTACTGCAGAATAACCTCTTTACATCTGGTGTTGTGTAAAATAGAGCCTAAACACTCTGCCTCCCATCTGTTGATTAGGCATGAACTGCCATCTCATGGGGGTCTCTGGAGGAAAGATGCTGCTTGAAGGGTGACAGACTTAACCAAGTGCAAGTTGGAGCCCTTCGGCCTGGCTCTCAGAGCTCAACTGGAAAACAGGTTCAAGATAAAGAGAAACATAAACCTCTTGCATGTAACCAAAGATTTCAGGTATGCTTGCTTTGTTAATGCTGGGTCCAAGTCTGGGTTGTAGAGTTCTAACTTTGCTCCAGCACTGTGATTTAATGGAAACGAGGAAAACTCAGTTCAGTGAAAGCTCAGTTTTAGCCTGTGTTTGCCAATTTCGTTTTTCTTTTGAGCTCTGAAGGCAAAGGTGGATATTGTTGCAGGATGATTTTCTTGGCACCCTGGTGCTTTCTTTCTATTACTTATCTGTATGAATAGATATTTTTGCTTCAGTGGTGGAAATGTGTGGCAGAGGTGTAGAACCTGCGTGCTTTGTATCATAAAACCTATACTGTTAACTTCTTTAGATACAAGAATAAACGTAAAGAGAACACTGGTAGCTCTGTTACCTGGTAGTGGTACAAAAGTAGTACAAAATGTGTGAGAATCTTATTTTTCCATCCCTTCCTCCTTCCCATCACAGGTCAAAATAATAGTTTAAAAACTACGTAGTGCGCTTCCAATACCACTGATTTCTTGAATGAAATAATACCTTGGTAGCACTAGATAGTGATTTTTTTAAAGGTTTGATTTCACCATTGCTTAAAAGAGGACTTGCTCAGTTACTGTTGCCTGGGAAGCTACTTGAATGAAATTGGGAGTTACCCCTGCACAAGGGATGTGGGGAGGGAAGGAGGGAGGGAGGGATGGATGGATGAATGGATGGATGGATATACAGGTTAGTAACTGGTTTCCTGCATGGACTGGGGATGACGTTCATCTCTTTATATGGTTGAGATTTGATTGTCCTTAAGACATGAACTGCTGGCAAACCAGCCTCAGTGCCTGCTAACCAGACCCCAGCATTTTCCAGTGCTCCCAGCATTACTCTCGAGTGGGACTTCTGGAGCAAGCAGTGAGTTAGGAATGGATTTTTAGCTTGGAGCAGTCCTGAAGATTTTGGTCAGCTGCCATTAAAGTTAAAAGATGATACAAAATTTGGAAGAAGACTAACTTATGTGTTCTCCTGATTTTCCTTTTTTGTTAGGGAACAGACTCTGCCAGAGTGAAGCTGCAAATTACAGCTCTCATCTGAAGAAGTTAAAGCTTTTGGAGGGTTTTTTAATATATATATATTAAAGAAGAGACTGAAAATATGTTACTAATTTGAAATATCTATTTCAAAGGGAGTGGAATTCTTTTGATAACATACTGGTAAAATCTGCCTTTTCTGATTATAACATTAAAAAGAAAAGAACCAAACCACTTGTCAAAATAGAAACTGGGCTGTGGAAGAGCCTTAGTTAGAAGCTTGTTTAAATCACAAAGAACTTCTCTTTTCTGCTCAGAATGGATGTGAGGTTTTTGGTTTTTTTTTTTCCCTGGCTCAGATCACCGAAACCTGTTCATGTTCTTTATAATATCTTTCACCTTGTGTCTGGGAGCAATCTGTGTCAGGTATGTGGACTTGTCATGGAGTCCTAATCCTGTCAGCACTTTAAAACATCGCTCTTGCCTAAGCAAATGTAGGAAACAGGAGATGCTAATTATAAAAAAAGTAGTATTTCTAGTGTATTTTACCCATTTAAATGAGTTTATGGCAACTGAGCAATAGCTGGAGGTTTAGACACCAGGAAATACCTGAAGTGTGATACAGATAATGGTAATGGAGGAAAAAGCTCAGAACAAGGCAATTCTAAAGTAGTAGGCACATAATTTTAACCGACCTAGGTTAGGGGAAGATGGTGTTGCCAGAGCTGATGTACTTTTTATATAGATAAAGATAACATTAAGTAATAATAAATGATAGAGAAGTCTGGTACTAAGATAGTATTTGTATCCCCGAGACTGCCTCTGTGCGGAGAATCCCGTCTGCAGAGGCCCAAACCCTTCTTGAATCTGAATTCTTAGAAGTTTTTCTGCCTTCCAGAGGTAAAGTTCCCCATTAGTGGGTGGATTTTTTTCAATTTACTTTTAATGTTTTAAATATTACTTTCAGTTAGTACCCAGGCTCACTGGTTGCATATTTCACATTGTTTCAGGTGGATTTATTGTGTCACATATTAATATGTACATTTTTATTCATTACATACGTGTGTACCCCATCCCTGGCAGCGTTCAAGGCCAGGTTGGACACAGGGGCTTGGAGCAACCTGCTCTAGTGGAAGGTGTCCCTGCCCGTGGCAGGGGATTGGAACTGGATGAGCTTTAAGGTCCCTTCAACCCAAACCAGGCTGGGGTTCTGTGATAATTTGTGTTTTAGAGGAAAGGAGTGGTTGTGTTGTGTTGTCATTAATGTAACCCCATCTTTCCAGAGTGGTTTTGCTGTATTTTCATGGTTCCAAGTGGGTGTCTTGAGAGTCAGGGAGTACAAATTAACTTATGACCCTGACTGCTGCAGCACAGGTTGCAGTTGAAGGAGTTGCAATGAACCCAGTGTGCTGCAATGTAGCTGGGTTTTCATAAGCAGTTGAAGCTGGTTTTTAGAGCTGATGATCACTTCCTAATTTGTCTGATGAAGATTACTGGTTTTGAATAAATGGACAGTTAAAGTAGGTGTCAGAAAGTTCCTGTCTTGATGATGCAGCTTTACTGTGGCGTATTCAAATGATGGAGTGCCCACTAAGAAGAAGAAAGCAGTCTGCAGTCTAGTAGCATCAGCTCATTTGAATGTCATATAAAACTTTTTCATGTGTCTCTGGACACTCTCATTGGCATGCTTTGTCAAGTTAATTGTTGTCCATGGACAGTTGTAGATATGACGGGGTAATAACCCTGAAATTTATCTGTGTGGTGCACTGGAGTCGTTCTCCACTTTGTCAGTACTTTGTCTGCCATATTTTACAGGGTGCTGTCAGGCAGCTGTTAGTCATTGGAAGGTCTTGGAGTGGTCTTGAGTTGCATTAGAGGAGCGTGCTGAGCACTTGCACCTTCCAGTTCTCCCTGTAATGTTACTGCTTTTGTGCAAGTGATTTTTGCACAAGAGCTCCCGGCGTGTCAGGTGGTGGATGCTGTCACAATCCCTGCTGGTAAAGGTGCATCTCTGCAGCGTGGGAGCAAGAGCTTCAAATTCATCCCATAAACACTTCTCAGGTTTGGAACAAAGTGGTGGTTCTCTCCAAGTTTCAGATTTCTCAGCAGATACCTACATCACCGATAAATCCCAAACTTGGAGTTGAAGAGGCATTGCAACTTGTTCAGCAGTTCCCAGTGCTGAAGGTATATTGAAGTTGCACGTGTGGTCTGTAAATAGCTGAAATGCCTTAGTCCTGATTTCATTGTAACATTGTTATGCTGTGGGCTATGTAGGTGTTCAGTTATTTTAGCTATGGGTAGCAGATGTCCCTCATCCAAAGAACTGACATATTTTAGCTGGTCTAGAGACCTGCTCTCCATTCACAGGCAGAGTAATTCCTGGCAAGAGCTCATTACCCGTGGGACATGGAGCATGTGACTCTCTAGTTTCAATGAAGGATGTACAGACATTTCCTAAGAGTTAACTGTCACTCTAGACTATTGTAACTTGTCAAAGTTATCTGTTACTCTTGTTTTGTCATGTTAGAGATGTAGTACCTGCCAAAGCTTACTGTGTTCTTCTTCTTTCAGATAAGGTGGTAGTTCAGTCTTATCAAATGTTTAACCTTAACCTTTTTTGAAGCTTCTAGTGTCTTAGGACTGGATGCTAATTGCAGGCAAAAAACATCTGTTGTGTAGTCAAAGCTCTTTTCTTTCCAAGTTCCACAGCTGCTCTGGTGCTAATAGACGTCCCAGAGCTAGACCAGTCGTCCATAGAGAAGAATATAAACTAGGGATGGCTTTGCCTGCCTGTCTGCCCTGTAGCTGTTAAATTCTTGAAGGCCTGAACACTGAAGATATGCACTTGATACGTACAGAACTTCCAGATGTCATTAGGAGTTACCAAACTTGGCTGCCTGTGCTGGGGTTCTGCCTTGCAGTCATCTGCTGCTCGCCTCAGGGCTGAGCAAGGCCCAGTCCTAGTTGGAAGCAGTGACAGAGCTATTCCCGTCTTCAGGATTACCTGGAAAGATTGAGGAGGAATTCCTTAACCTTTAAATTATTCAACCAGGATTTCAAGCATGGCGTTAATCTGAAGTCTCTGTTGGCCTTGGTACAACAGATGTTGCTGTTCATCTGGGGATGGTGTGCTTCAGGGCTCAATAAGGACTTCCGCTTCCTTACTGAAGCATGTTGTCTTATCCTGAGGACAACATAGATGATGCTTTAATTTATCTCCTGCTCTTTAAATAAGAGCTATGCAGTTAGACCTGGAGGCTTGCAGAATGGCCTGGTGGGTGGTTTTCCCAACTCTGTTGTTCTTGGCTCGCATCCTGTGATGGGAGCATTCTGAGGGATGTTCCCTGTGCTGGATAAAGGTGTTCCTTCTAGGTTGGCTCAGCTGGGGAGCTAAATCTGACTTGCTCAATGCAGAGGTTGTTGTCAAAGCTCTGAAAGCATCTGCAGTGCAAGAGAGTGCATATATAGAATCATAGAATAGCTAGGGTTGGAAAGGCAGTTAACTGTTGTGTGGTGCCTTTTGAGATGGAAACCCACTTGTAATCCATGTTGCTGTCCCCTCCCTATGTTCTCACTAACAGCTTGTGTCATCATTAGCTTTACTAAGTGCTTACTTCAGGTGGTATCAGGGTTGAAGCCATCTCTTTGAGAGCAGCAGTTAATAGTCCCAGCTAACAGCACATGGATTTTGAGACAGAGGTTCTGGGTATGTGATGGATTATTTAGGAGTTCAGTTAAAGAGAGCAAATGCACCCTTGTAAGAATCCTCACTGTAGGGTTGAGCTGGATTCTGCATTAACACTCCTCTCAATGTTTTTAGCTCCTTGCAAACCTGTAAGTAAAACTACTTTTTTGCTATAAGCTTTTCTGCAGTAGGTTGAACACTTCATAAGGATATTTCAAGAATTTTGGTAGCTATAGAGTTGAGAGCTATCTTGGAAGAACCTTTCTGCTTGAAATGCATTTCCTGTATCTAGCGCTGCCTTTAATCTCATGCGGTCTCGCAAAACCCGTTCTACCTATTAAATATGCAGTAAAGCTGTTCTGTTTGGTAGGAGATGGTATGTTTAAACAGCAGAAGTCCTCATTGCTCCTGTATTTTAAGATTAAAAATTCAGCTGCAACACTACCTTCGGATTCAGAGCCATTAGAATGGATTTTTCAGATTTATTCTCCTGATTATAATACAGAAAATTAATTGCTTTTGACTGTAAGGAATTATGACCCATTCATTATTTAAGAACCTTCTTAATGGATGAACCTTTCTGATTACTTCAAGACGTTTCCTGAAATAAGGCTGCTTTTTGAACTGGTGTAAAGCATAACGCACCTATATCAAACAGTGGGTGCACTGCACACTCCTTAGGGGTAAGGCCTGGTGGAAAATTCAGACAGGACTTTATCTGTGTGTAGTTTTCTTCAGCATTCGATGTACAAGTAATGGAGCTCACTGAGAGAACACATTAGTTGAACAGCATTTAAAATCACAGAATCACAGACTGGTTTGGGTTGGAAAGGACCTTAAAGCTTCTCCCGTTCCAACCCCCTGCCACGGGCAGGGACACCTTCCACTAGAGCAGGTTGCTCCAAGCCCCTGTGTCCAACCTGGCCTTGAACACTGCCAGGGATGGGGCAGCCACAGCTTCTCTGAGCACCCTGTGCCAGCACCTCAGCACCCTCAGAGAGAAGAACTTCCAAAGTAACTCCCAGAGCACGTGGTTCCTGATGTCAAATACGACTTTAACTCATTGCAGTACACTTGTTTTCCTGCAATCTTCATGGTAATGAAATTGGTAAGATAACTATTCCGTATCACTGTTTTCCATAAGAACAGAGGACAGTGAATATTAACATTGGGGTTCATGGTGGGTGAACACTGTACTGAATTCTGTCCCTTGGCCTGTACACTCACCCAAGGAGGAAGCTGGCACTTCCCCAGATGTGCTGCAGGTTGCAGTTTTGTGGTCCTCTCTGGTCAGGATCTTGAGGCTCAATTTTTTTTGCAGTTGTCTTAACATAGCCTATGTTTCAAAGTAGGCTGCAAGTAATGTTGACATTGTC